GGTTTTTGGGATTTTTGGGAAAAAAATATTATGGGATTTTTTGGGGAAAAAATTGGGTTATTTGGGAAAAAAGGGGGTTTTTTTTGGTGTTTGGGTTTGGGATTTGGGGTTATCAGGACTGCAAGGCGGAGCACGAGGGGCTGGCCGAGCCCAGCAAGACACATTGGGGTGAGGTTTGGGGGTTTTGGGGTTTTTGGGGTGGCGGTGTTCCCCAAGCACCCGGTGGAGCAGGACGAGCCCAACATCCTGATCTGCTACGTCACCAAGTTCTGGCCGCCGGCGCTGGGGCTGAGCTGGCTGCGCAACGGGGTCCCGGTGACGCGCGGCGTCCTGGAGACGCCCTTCTACCCCGACCGCGACTTCACCTTCCGCAAGTTCTCCTACCTGCCCTTCATCCCCCGGCCCGGGGAGTACTACGACTGCAAGGTGGAGCACGAGGGGCTGGCCGAGCCCAGCAAGACGCATTGGGGTGAGGTTTGGGGTTTTTGGGATTTTTGGGAAAATAAAAATGGGGTTTTTGGGATTTTTTGCGGAAAAAAATGGGATTTTTTTGGAAAATTTGGGTTTTGGGGTTTGGGAACTGGGAGATTTGGGGTTATTAGGTCTGCAAGATGGAGAACGAGGGGATGGTAGAACCCAGCAAGACTCATTGGGGTGAGATTTGGGGTTTCTGGGATTTTTGGGAAAAATATTATGGGTTTTTTGGGGAAAAAATTGGATTTTTTGGGGAAAAAATGGGGTTTTGGGGGTTGGGAAAATGGGATTTGGGGTTATCAGGACTGCAAGGTGGAGCACGAGGGGATGGTGGAACCCAGCAAGACTCACTGGGGTGAGCTTTGGGGTTTTTGGGGTTTTTGGGAAAAATATTATGGGGTTTTGGGAAAAAGAAAGGGTTTTTTTGGTGAAGAAATGGGGGTTTTGGGGTTTGGGAAAATGGGATTTGGGGTTATCAGGACTGCAAGGTGGAGCATGAGGGGCTGGCCGAGCCCAGCAAGACGCATTGGGGTGAGGTTTGGGGGTTTTGGGGTTTTTGGGAAAAAATTGTGGGATTTTTGGGATTTTTTGGGGAAAAAATGGGTTTTTTTGGGTGTTTGGGTTTGGGATTTGGGGTTATCAGGACTGCAAGGTGGAGCATGAGAGGCTGGCAAAACCCAACAAGACGCATTGGGGTAAGATTTGGGGATTTTGGGAAAATAAAAATGGGGTTATTGGGATTTTTTGGGGAAAAAAATGGGATTCTTTAGGAAAAAAAAATTGGGTTTTGGGGTTTGGGAAAATGGGATTTGGGGTTATCAGGACTGCAAGGTGGAGCATGAGGGGCTGGCCGAGCCCAGCAAGACGCATTGGGGTGAGGATTGGGGGTTTTGGGGTTTTTGGGAAAATAAAAATGGGGTTTTTGGGATTTTTTGCGGAAAAAAATGGGATTTTTTTGGAAAATTTGGGTTTTGGGGTTTGGGAACTGGGAGATTTGGGGTTATTAGGTCTGCAAGATGGAGAACGAGGGGATGGTAGAACCCAGCAAGACTCATTGGGGTGAGGTTTGGGGTTTTTGGGATTTTTGGGAAAAAAAAATTATGGGATTTTTGGGATTTTTTGGGGGAAAAATGCCATTTTTGGGGAAAAAATGGGTTTTTTTTGGTGTTTGGGTTTGGGATTTGGGGTTATCAGGACTGCAAGGTGGAGCACGAGGGGATGGTGGAACCCAGCAAGACTCATTGGGGTGAGGTTTGGGGTTTTTAGGAAAAAAATCATGGGTTTTTTGGGGAAAAAATGGGGTTTTTTGGGAAAAAATGGGGTTTTGGGGGTTGGGAAAATGGGATTTGGGGTTATCAGGACTGCAAGGTGGAGCACGAGGGGCTGGCTGAGCCCAGCAAGACACATTGGGGTGAGGTTTGGGGTTTTTGGGATTTTTGGGAAAAAATTTATGGGTTTTTGGGGAAAAAATTGGGTTTTTTGGGAAAAAAGGGGGTTTTTTTGGGTGTTTGGGTTTGGGATTTGGGGTTATCAGGACTGCAAGGTGGAGCATGAGGGGCTGGCCGAGCCCAGCAAGACGCAGTGGGGTGAGGATTGGGGGTTTTGGGGTTTTTGGGAAAAAAATTATGAGATTTTTGGGATTTTTTGGGGAAAAAAATGGGATTTTTTGGGATAAATTTGGGTTTTGGGGTTTGGGAAAATGGGATTTGGGGTTATTACGACTATAAAGTAGAGCGCGAGGGGATGGTTGAGCCTGGAAAGAGGCACTGGGGTGAGATTTGGGGTTTTTGGGGTTTTTGGGAAAAAAATTATGGGGTTTTTTGGGGAAAAAAAGGTATTTTTTTGGAAAAAAATTGGGTTTTGGGGTTTGGGAAAATGGGATTTGGGGTTTTTGGGGGTTTTGGGAAGAAAATTATGGGGTTTTTGGGATTTTTTGGGGGAAAAATGGGTTTTTTTGGGTGTTTGGGTTCGGGATTTGGGGTTATTACGACTGCAAGGTGGAGCATGAGGGGCTGGCCGAGCCCAGCAAGACTCATTGGGGTGAGGTTTGGGGTTTTGGGAAAAAAAGTATGGGATTTTTTGGATTTTTTGGGGGAAAAATGGGTTTTTTTGGGTGTTTGGGTTTGGGATTTGGGGTTATTACGACTGCAAGGTGGAGCACGAGGGGCTGGCCGAGCCCAGCAAGATGCATTGGGGTGAGGTTTGGGGTTTTTGGGATTTTTGGGAAAAAATTTATGGGTTTTTGGGGAAAAAATTGGGTTTTTTGGGAAAAAAGGGGGTTTTTTTGGGTGTTTGGGTTTGGGATTTGGGGTTATCAGGACTGCAAGGTGGAGCA